CAAATGAGTAACAATTTATTTTCTTATTTTCCTATTATACAAGTGTTGAGAAAAAATGTCAAATAAAGCAAAAACTTAAAAGCGTAAAGACACAATTTTTTATAGCTGTAGCATACATAGCATAGAAAAAACGTTCTGTTATTGTTAAATTGTTATAAAAGATATGCCGATATTATGTTTTTTCAACAACGACTCTAAAAAAAAGAATACAAATGTTGTATAAAAATTAAAAAAAAAAAAAAAAAATTTATTTACTTTTTTTAATTATTAAATTTTCTAGTTTATGCAATTAATTATTTCAAATTAAATAAATTTTGTAAAATTAAAAAATGTTGAAAATCTGATGTTGCCATGACATCACTTTGTTACGCTCATTATAATTTTTTTAATGGTCTTTTTTAAAAGTTTTATTAGTTTGATTATGGCTCTCACTAAAGAAGCCAAAATATCATGTAAAGAAAAGAAATAAATAGTATGATACCGTATATGATGTAAATATGTATAATATTATTACAAATACATTAAAAATGTCACTTTTTATAAAGTATAAACCGTCGCCTTTTTATAAAGTATAAACCATCCCGCCACCTTTTTATAAATCTCTATATATAACAATGATTAGGCGGAATGGTATTTTTAATTTACCGAATACCATCCCGTTACTTTTTTTTTCCACTTCCAGCTCTGTATATATATATATATATATATATATATATATATATATACACACACACACACACACACACACACACACACACACACACACACACACACACACACACACACACACACACACACACACACACACACTCACTAGGGGTATGGCTAAAAAACATTTCATTTTTTTTGGAAATGGCATAGCGGCAAAAGATGAACTTTTACTTGTATTAACTTAATTAAAACAATAATACTTTCCAAATCGAAAAAAAACTCCCCCACCAGTGCAGATAAAAGTTTGGTCCCGGCTATCTAAAAATGCAAAAAATTCAAGTTTTTGCATTTATAGTAGGGGCAGGGTCACTTAACAAAATTTCAAAAATACCATGAGAATTATTTTCATAGCTTGATATATCTACTTTTAGATTATGTTTTTTAGTAAAAATGTTGGGAAAAATGTTTTTTGGTAAAAATGATGGGAAGAGTTGATCTTAACCATTTGCAATCATGTGTGTATTCAAAAGGTTGGGAGGGGGGGCTTTTTTATTTTTTTAATATGTACATTAAATATAAAACATTTTTGTAATTCAGGCTTTCACAGGAAGACGTGCGATTTCATGTCTTTATATGACCACGCAAAAAAAAAATGTTTTAACGATTTATTTATATATATTATTTATATAACGGCATATTTTTAAAATTTAAAAACGCGATACAAAAACTTACAAACTTATCTGAAAAAAAAATTTTAAAAAATAATAAATATTAACGAAAGAGAAAATAAAAAAAAATACTTAGTCAAAGCAAAAACACAAAAAAATAATATATATATATATATAACGTAACTAAAACAAAACTCATCAAACTAAAATGCTTAGTCTATTTAATTTACGCATTAAAAAACCTTTTCAATCTTTGTTTCAACACTTTTATATATTTTTTATTTGTTTAATATGTTCAAAAGTTAAATAATTCTCATAAAAAATACATAGTTATATAAATGAAATAAAAAAACATTTTATAAATACTTTTTTTTAAATAAGTTAGAAGTGTTTTTTTTTTTACTTCATTAAAAGCGTTTCAATAATATAAAAGCATTTAAGATCAAACTTATTAAATTGTTACGGTTTTCTAAAACTTTTTTTTTTTTTAACTTTAATCATTCTTATATTTAAATTCGTTAAAGAGACTTTCGTAGTCGTAGAATGTCATCGTTTATAAAAACAAAACAATTTTTTATTTTTTAATAAGATTTTTTTTAGAAATGAACACTTAACCAGTTTATATGTTTTAAATTAAAAAAATATATACAACTGTCAATTATATTTAAAAAACAAAACTTTTTTTCAGTAAATTGTTACTTTATTTAAAATCGTTTCGCTAATATAAATTTGTTAATATAATTTGTTAAAGAAGTTTTGATGTAATTAATTTCACTTTTTTAGAATATTTTTTATTTAGCGCATTTCTAAAATGTTTTTTGAATTAGCCGCGGTCAAACCGTCATAGCAAAATGTAACTTGCGTGGTCATATGAAGACGTGAAATTGCACGTCTTCCTGTGAAAGCCTGTAACTGTACATTTTTTATTTAAAGACTATTTTATAGTTTTTATCCAAGATTTTTTATCAGTTGTTTTAAATTTTAAACATTGATTAGCTTCTCTGTCTTCTTTTGTTTCTAAACGTTTCAATGGGTTGTTGAGAGTGGGAGGAGAGGGGGAGGAGCCAAAAAAGAATTTTGTGAAATTTTTTTAATTTTTTTGTAAGAGGGCATATTTTTTTAATTTTTTTGTAAGGGCAAAGTACGTACGCAGTAAAACCTCTGATTTAGGATCCCCCTCCCCTTCTTTTACGAACCTGTACGCTTTTGAAGACACCCCCTTCCCCCGCGTAAATACGCATTATTTTTTTTCAAAATTAACTTGATTTCTTTTTTCTCTCCTCATTATTTATAAAGAAATTTAAAAAAAAATTGTGACTGAAGTCAAAAAAAAAAAACACAATTCTGATTTGTTAAACACATGAAATTAAATGTTATTAAAAAAAAAAATCAAGTTTAGGAGAGATAGTCAAACCGCATCTTCAACACCCCCTCCCCCTCTGTACATGTTTGTACAATTTTTGAAAACCCCACCCACCACCCCACCCCTACCTCCCCCATACCTGCGTAGGTACAATATGGATGGCCCCTAAATAACCAATAACACTTGCTTATTAAGAAAACTGTATTACAGAGGTTATCCTATGTGTTAATTTTCCAAACATTTCTACAATTAATATAACTTCATGTTTTTTTTTTATTGCCTAATGTATTGAAATAGGAGGTTGTCTCATGGTAAAAAAAATAGGAGGTTGTCTCATGGTAAAAAAAAATAGGAGGTTGTCTCATGGTAAAAAAAAATAGGAGGTTGTCTCATGGTAAAAAAAAATAGGAGGTTGTCTCATGGTAAAAAAAAATAGGAGGTTGTCTCATGGTAAAAAAAAATAGGAGGTTGTCTCATGGTAAAAAAAAAATAGGAGGTTGTCTCATGGTAAAAAAAAATAAGAGGTTGTCTTATGGTAAAAAAAAATAAGAGGTTGTCTCATGGTAAAAAAAAATAGGAGGTTGTCTCATGGTAAAAAAAATAGGAGGTTGTCTTATGGTAAAAAAAAATAAGAGGTTGTCTCATGGTAAAAAAAAATAGGAGGTTGTCTCATGGTAAAAAAAAATAGGAGGTTGTCTCATGGTAAAAAAAAAATAGGAGGTTGTCTCATGGTAAAAAAAAATAAGAGGTTGTCTTATGGTAAAAAAAAATAAGAGGTTGTCTCATGGTAAAAAAAAATAGGTTGTCTTACGGTAAAAAAAAATAGGAGGTTGTCTCATGGTAAAAAAAAATAGGAGGTTGTCTCATGGTAAAAAAAAATAGGAGGTTGTCTCATGGTAAAAAAAAATAGGAGGTTGTCTCATGGTAAAAAAAAAATAGGAGGTTGTCTCATGGTAAAAAAAAATAAGAGGTTGTCTTATGGTAAAAAAAAATAAGAGGTTGTCTCATGGTAAAAAAAAATAGGTTGTCTTACGGTAAAAAAAAATAGGAGGTTGTCTCATGGTAAAAAAAAATAGGAGGTTGTCTCATGGTAAAAAAAAATAGGAGGTTGTCTCATGGTAAAAAAAAAATAGGAGGTTGTCTCATGGTAAAAAAAAATAAGAGGTTGTCTTATGGTAAAAAAAAAAAAGAGGTTGTCTCATGGTAAAAAAAAATAGGAGGTTGTCTCATGGTAAAAAAAAATAGGAGGTTGTCTCATGGTAAAAAAAAAATAGGAGGTTGTCTCATGGTAAAAAAAAATAAGAGGTTGTCTCATGGTAAAAAAAAATAGGAGGTTGTCTCATGGTAAAAAAATTTACCATGTGCACACCATACATACCATTATCAGATGAACAAAATACTGACTAACATATCAGATATATAATATAGTAAACATATCAGATGTTTACTATATTATAGTAAAATGCTTATAATTTTACAATTCACTCCAAATTTAAATAGACTTAATAATACATTAATATGTTTTTATGATAAAAAATATCAATATATAAATGTTTTTAGTCGCAATATCTTTTCATGAATTCTTGTACTTTTGATATGCCATTTAGAGGCAAGAATGTTGACTTAAAAAGCATAAGGCGAAAATGTGGTTTTAAAAGAATAAGATTTATTTAATGAAAAACGGACATAGATGGAAACTTAAAGCTCAACTTGTTGCATATAGATAATATAAAGAATATTTGCTAACACTAAAATACCGCCAAATCTACGAATAAACAAATTCTATTGGTTCAAAAAATACGCTGAATAAGCGAATTAGAGTTCCATAATATTCTGAAGAAACTTTCTTAAAAATGTATTGCTTGAGTTGTAAAAGTAATAAATAAATCTTTGAGATTTCTATTGTAAATTGTTTTAAGAATATATTATCAAACAAAACTGATTAAATTAACATTTAAATTAATAAAAGAAATATATTATAATCTTTGATAAATTAACATTTGTCAAACAATAATCGTCATAATTACGATGTTACTTTCTATAAAATTTCGTAACATTTTTAAGTCGGTTTTTATTATTCGAAAATAGATATTTGATATTCGAACAAAATCCGGTTAACCGCAAAACCGGATAACCGGCGAAATCACTAACATACATAGATACATACATACATACATACATACATACATACATACATACATACATACATACATACATACATACATACATACATACATACATACATACATACATACATATTCATTAATAAACTTTTGCCAACCTTATTTTAATGATTGTAAATTTTCTTTTTTGTTTAGATTATAACATGGATCCAAAAAGATGGGTTTCTTATTCTTGAACAGCAAATTGAAATAGGTGATTCAATAGGTCATGCTCAATCTCTTATGAGTGAATTTTCAAAATTTTCTCAAGTCTCAGAAGTAATTGCATTTTAATTTGTGTTTTTGTTTTTAATTTTTAAAAAACATGCTTATTTTTTTTTAATTTTATCACTCTCAAGAAGACTGCAGGCTCTTTTTATGATTTAGTTTTTTTATTGTTTATTATTATTATTATTTTTATTGTTTATTATTATTTTTATTTTTATTGTTTATTATTATTTTTATTTTTATTGTTTATTATTATTTTTATTTTTATTGTTTATTATTATTTTTATTTTTTTTATTCTATTTATGTTGAGAGTTAATAACGGGTGATTACTAAAAACTTATTTATGATTACTTTGTGATTACTTATTTATGATTACTTTGTGATTACTTATTTATGATTACTGTGTGATTACTTTGTCTTCTTATTGTGTCGAGTCTTCTGTTAGTACACTCTGCCAAGCATTGTACCAGCTTTTTGCCGAATTTCTTAAAACAGTAAATTATTCTAGAGCGTAATTGATCCAAATTCTGTGCCTGCCAACCATTTTTGTAAACATCTCCTTTGATACAAGACCAAAAATCCTCAATACAACGACATTCAGGCATATTTGGAGGGTTTTTACTTTTTGTTACAAACTTTATACCATTTTCATTCAAACAGCTTTGTTTGAGTAATGGGCACTTGCTAGATCAGGCCAGAATAAGTATTTGGTATTTTTTGGAAGCTGTTTGATGTGTGGTAATAGTTTTTTAGTCAAACATTCATCAACATAAATATGCTGGTTAATAGCAGTTCCAGACTGTACAATGTATGGAGTTGATAGGCCAAAAGGCAAAATGACCACGTAAACCAATAATTTTTCTTCAAATTTCTTTTTTTCTTTGAATTTAACATTGTTTGGTGTTAATTCGATGTTACTTGAATAGAAATTATCATTACCATTAATTTAGCTGTTCGAGAAAGTAAAATAAGACTTGTCATCAAGAACCCAAATAAAATCTTTATAATTTTTATTAAGTTGACCACACAAACGTCAGTTTTTTGCTCTCTGGCTCTCAGTTCGACTTGGAATCTTCATTTGTTTTCTTTTTTTATTGATGTTTTGGTTTTCAATGTCTTAGAAATAAGTGACTGAGAACATTTGAACTTTTTTGAAGCTATACGCTGAGAAATGCCATATTTATGGTCAAAAAGCTTAATAAGTTGACTGATGGCGCGCTTAGTCATTATTTTCGGCTTTCTACCACTACCAGTTTGCCTTTCAAATGGTTTATCTTCTTCTACACGTTTAATAATTCCATATATAGTTGATCTTGATATGTTTTCTGCTTCAAAATGAGAAACAGTGAATGATTTATGTTTATCTGAATTTTCTTGATAAAACTGGTACACACGTTTTCTCTGGAGCTCTTTGTTTGACGTCATTTTTAATAATAAATTTAAAATACTTATATAAAAGTTAATATATATTTCAAAAGAAGAATAAATTTGCAACATTTTAAAAATTGTTTGAAAAAATAAGTATTAGTTGCATATAGAAATATGATGTAAGCAATTTTGTCCAGATTTTTAGTAATCACCCGTTAGAAAACAAATAATATTGTTAAATAGAAATTAAATGGTTGACAGAAAACTTAACAAACTATCAACTAATTGTTTGACTCTGGAAAACACGAAGATAGAAGATTGTTTTGAAGCATTGATGTGTGACGAAAAAATTTAAATAAATGTTTTTAAAGCATGAATGAACGTATATAAAAAGGATGCTACTTAACTGATGATGCTAATTAACTGAATGATGAGTCATGCAAAATTGAGTTTTGGTCAACAAGACATAATAGTTTGTTTGCGCAGTGATCACGCTTGCAGCTCAAATTTGTATGTAGAAAGAGATTAAAATCTTAAAACTTTTGTTTTATTTTAATCTCTTTCTTTTTTCTACAAGCTTGGAAACCTAAGCAGGTCCAACTATATTCACAATATATTTATTTTTTCTTATTACATTTACATTTATACTACATTTACAATACATTTTAAATTAGTGTAATGACTATCCATGCAACAACAAATAAACTTGCATACCATCTATGGATTAAAAAAAACAAAAAAGTTGCATAGTATCCATACAATAACAAAAAAAGCTTGCATAATATCCACAAAAACTTGCATAGTATTCATACTATAAAAACAAACTTTCACAATATCCATGCAACAGCAAAAAAAAACTTGCATACTAAATCCTGTAAAAGAAAACATGTTTATATTAATATCTTTATTAATTATTGTTTAATTAATTATATAAAGACGATAATGTTTATTTGTATAAAATAATAATAATATAAATTTATTTTAAAGGAAAACATTCAATGCGCAGAAGAAAATATTATTTTGGGCAATCAATTACTTAAACTTCCTGTGTTAAAAGACATACATGAATCTATTAAAGACACATTGGTCACACTTGAAAAATATCTTAAAGATTTTATTTTAAAATACTCTGAGCGAAAAAAAAAACTTACGAAGAGCTTAGATTTTCACACTTTAGTATTAGAAGCTCACCAGTGGTGGATGACGGGTTTGCAATATATAGCACACATGAATATGGAAGAAATACAAACTCATGAAGGCATTACTCATTTAAAAAACTCTTTGTGTCATTTTATTAAAGAAAATCCATTTTTGAAAGAAAGTCAAATAGCTCGAATTACAGAACTAGCGCATCATTTAGGTAGTAAATATGTAGAGCAAGCAGAACAAAATAGTAAGCGATGCTTAGAGGTTCAAGAAATGCTTCAAGTTAAGCAAAATCAAATTGCAGGTGCTGAAGAAAGATTAAAAAGGGTATGTTTGTATCAAGATATTTAATTATATTTTATGTTTGTTTTTGTTTTTTTGAAAAAAACAAAAAATCAAAATATAATTAAAATTTAAAAAATTATTATTTTCTTCATGAAATTGAATTTTTTTTTTTTGTTTTTTTTTTTTAATTTTATTTTTATTTAGAACTGGGATCAATACAGTAGCGACCCTGACAATGAAAACTCTAGTGGTATCAAAGATGATGATGTTTCAACAGAAGCTGATGAAGATCTGTATCAAGATGCTAAAAGTGTTTCAGATTGCTTTGATCTTGTGAATTTTCCTGTGTATAGTTGGCAAGAATCTCAATATGATGAGAATGATGCTAATCTGGCAGTTTTTGATGCTGCTATGCCTGCTAAAATGAAAGAGAGACTTCGGTTCATTATAGAAGAGATGATTAATACAGAGTATCAGTATGTACATTCATTAGAATATGTACTGGTAAATTATCTTCCAGAAATGGACTCAGATCACCTTCCCCCAACTTTAAAAGGAAGAAAAAACATACTTTTTGGAAACATAGACAGAATATATGAATTTCACAAAAGGTTTATTTTATTTATCTATTTTTTTTTTTTTTTTTAATTTCTTAAATGCTTTTTACTTATTTTTAATATTTAATCTTTTAATTTCCAGACATTTTTCTCATGATATCGAATCTTATAGACATGCTCCTTTACAGATAGGAAAATGTTTTTTAAAATGGGTTGGTATTTTAGTTTGAATATTCATTTTTTTACATTTTTTTCAATATTTTTTAATTATTTAGAAAATTTTTAATTTATTAGGAGCGTCAGTTTTACGTATATGCACAATACAATAAAAACAAACCCAAAAGTGATGAAATTTGGAATGATTTTGCTAACGCTTATTTTGAGGTGAAGACTTGATATTTGTTTCTGTTTTAACTCTTTAAATATTATTCTTGGGTTTTAAATGTATTATGAAAATTTTTATTTTTTCTAACAGCTGCTTCTTGGTTATATATATATATATATATATATATATATATATATATATATATATATATATATATATATATATATATATATATATATATATATATATATATATAGTTGTTTTGATTATTTGATAATAATCACCTCTTTTACGATTTGAGAGTGATCAATATAAAGTGAAATAATCACAAAATAGATCAATAAATAAATAAAAGGTTAGATGAGAAAAATCAACTTTTTTACGGTAAAGTTTCATGCCGTTTTCGGCACTCATCAGCCATATATTTAAATCAAGAAAAAAACTTTTAAAAATACAATTAAAAAACCGTCACAAAATTCAAAAAAAATATTGGAATCAGTTCCGACATCAAATAATAATAGTAATAATAATAATAACAATAATAATAACAATAATAGCAATAATAGCAATAATAACAATATGGAAAAAACATCTTTTCTAATTGCCAGTGTCAAATTGAGAAAGGAGAAATCTGTTTCTATGTCTGCACTTTGAAACAATCTCACTCCTTTTATTTAGTAGATTAGTATTTATGTAATTTAGGATTTCATTTTTTTCGGTGAGACATCGCCTGAGAATTTACCCTAACCCTAACCCTGAGTGCAAAATTCTTAGGTGATGTAAATCATATAATCCAACATCCAAATCTTGTAAATTATGTCTCACCCAAATGAAATTTCGATGAGACATAATTTACAAGATTTGGATGTTTTTTCAAAGTGCAGACATAGAAACAGATTTCTCCTTTCTCAATTTGACATTGGCAATTAGAAAAGATGTTTTTTCCATATTGTTACTATATATATATATATATATATATATATATATATATATATATATATATATATATATATATATATATATATATATATATATATATATATATATATATATATATATATATATATATATATATATATATATATATATATATATATATATATATATATATATATATATATATATATATATATATATATATATACACAGGGTGTTAACTAAGAATAAATTTGAAAAAGCGTTTTGACGAAATTGAGAATTTGTCAAAAAATTTCCCAAATATACAACCCCTCCTCCCCTGAGATTAAAATGCGTACCTGGAATGTGTGGGGTCCTTTTTTTATATTCTTTCTTTTTCTACTCCACTTTAACGCTGCATACATTGGTTCGACAGTGCCAAAAATAAAACAAAATACAGTCTGTAACATTTATTGAAGATGAATATGAAATCAACACAAAATTAAACGTGGTTTCACAATGATAAGCCAAATTAAGCTCCGATTTCCAAAGATATATTCAGAATTATATATTTTTATATTATAAAATAATCAGTTTGTATTAATTAATTATTATTAAGAGTAATATATTTGATTTACTTTTAATCTTACTATATCGTTGCTGCTTTCATGTTAAGAATATTCTTTTGAATATATATTTTTTTCACTCGTTGGCATTAAAGCGTGATTTTTAAAGTAGCAATTTTTATAGCAATTTTTAAATAGCAATTTTTAAATAGCAATTTTTAATGTAATATAATGATCTTCTACTTCTACTTCTACTTTCAATTATAAATTATCTAAATTCTGTGTGACGTCCTTTATAGACGAACCCTTATACATCATCATGTAATAAACTGTGTCATCAAAAGAAATGTTTTAAAAATAGAAAAATAAAAAAGGTTTTGAAAACAGTAAACACAAGCTCGTAAATTTTATATTTAACATTTATTGCGAGTTCAATTTTAAAATTAATATTAACTTTCTTTATACATCAATTGCATACTGAAATAAAGTTACAATTACAAAGTCTCAGCAAAACAACAACGAATGTTGTTTAATTACAAAAGAATTACAAAAAATGGCAAGTGATTTCACATTTTCATATTGTGGCAACGAAGAAGACTACTAATAATTTTTTTATGCATAGTCATAAAGTGGACTGTGGTTCGTTAAACTTTTAAACTTGCTTTTATGTTTTAAATTCGAGTAAGCAGTGAATCAAGTTTTCTTATTTTTTAAATTTCTAGTACCAGTTTGTTGTAATAAAAAAAAGCATTCTTGTTATTGAAAGTATTTAATTTACATTTTAATAGGCATATTTAATTTACATTTTAAATATAAGCAACCAGTAAAGTAAAGAAATCTATTTTCCTCATTAAATAAATTTCTAGAACTAATTTGTTATAATCAAAAAACATTTATTTAACTTATTTAACTTTTCAGCCAAAAAGGGCGAAACTTTTAAAGAAATAGCATTTTTGGGTGTTTAACCAAACAAATTTGTAATTTTTTAAATTGCACTTTATTTTTTGCTAACTTTTTTTTTTAATAATATTTGCTGTTGTTGGAACACATTGCAAAAATTTATTTGCAAATTTTGAGAAATGAATTTTTTTTCCAAGCAATTATAGGGATTTTTGGAAAATCCCATTTCTCAAAAATGGAATTTTCCAAAAATCCCATTTTTGAGAAATGAGAGTTTTTTTCCAAGAGACATTTTTGCATTTATGCATCCAATATTTTTCAGAAATATTATTAAACTTTAATTAGGCAAACTTTATTTGGAGAATGGGGTCTTTTAACTTTTAAATTGGGAATTTTAATTTTATGAGCATGACGGGGCCCCTGTTGGGCCCTGTCAAACCCAGTTTTCCCAAATTTATTTCAGTTAGTTTACACCCTGATATATACATATATATATATATATATATATATATATATATATATATATATATATATATATATATATATATATATATATATTCTTCTTATTTTCCTTTTTTGTTGAACTCTTTTGTTTATTATAAGTTTTATATAAGTTAACAAAATTTGGCGATCAGATTTGCTAGGAGTAAGATATGAGTTATTAGAGTAAAGTGATGGTACTTACTGTAGCGTGCAAAAGTTTAGAAACACCAACTTTTTTTCAGTTTTTACTGCATAACTTTTCACAAACTTTCATAAATAAGCTGAAATTTTTACCAAATGTGCTCTATATTATTTCAATTTAAAATACAAACCACAAAAGTTACAAAATTGAACAGTTAATTAACATTTAATTGTTTTTTTGAGATCTGGGCTCTGTGAAAGCCATTCAAGAACTTTGATTTTTTGTGATTTAAAATATTCTTAAACAGATCTGGCATAATGCTTTGGATCATTATCTTGTTGTAAGATCCATTTGCGAGTCATTTTACGCTTTGCATGTGGCCGCATAACATTCTTTATGATGACTAAATAAACACTCTGGTCCATAATAATACCTTCTATCTGATGAATGGGACCCACATTGTCACAACTAAAACATCCCCAAACCATAACATTTCTTCTTCCATGTTTAACAGTGGGTAACTGATATTTTGGATTAAATCTGTCTCCTACTGGACGCCTAACATACCTAATTCCGTCACAACTAAATAGCATAAACTTTGATTCATCAGAACAAAGGACTTTTGACCAGTCATTAACTGACCAACTAATATGTTCTTTTGCAAATTTTATTTTGGTTTTTAAATTTCTTGCAGATATTAGCGGTTTCTTAACTAGACGACAGCCATGCAGATTATTTTGTCATAATTGACGTTTAGTTGTAACGATGCTAGAGTTGTGCTATGAAACTGATGCGAAAATGAATTAAGTTCAAGTGCAAGTATTATTTTTGGAATACCTTACTAATAATCTATAAGGCTTTTCAGTTGTAGCTTTAGGTCTTTCAGAGCAATATTTGTTTTCAATAGTTTTGCGCAGACGAAATCTTTTCATAATGTGAATTATTCCTTTTTTAGAAACATTGTAAAGTTCAGAAATCTGCCTGTAAGTCATTTTATTTCCCACTGATTTTATAATTAACTCCTTTATTTCCTTTTGGATCTTCCTTAGCTTTTCCCATGCTTATAAAATAATGCTAAGTAATTATATTTTAAACTTTTACAAATATTTTGGCAATTAATTATACTTCACTTCCTTTGAAATATCTCGAAGAAATTAAGTTATTAAATTTCACAACAATTTTGTGGTTTATATTTTAAATTAAAATAATATAGAGCACATTTGGTAAAAATTCCAGCTTATTTAAGAAAGTTTGTGAAAAGTTATGCAGTAAAAACTGAAAAAATGTTGGTGTTTCTATACTTTTGCACGCTAATGTATGTGCAAATGGCAGTGTACTTATGTGTGAGTGGCTGTGTACTTATGCACGAATGACAGTGTCAAATTTCTTTAACTTATGTGCACTTATGTTACAGTGTACTTATCGGCAGTGTGCTTACGTGCATGTGGTAGTGTACTTATATACAAAAGATCTTGAAAATTAAACTTCAAAAAATTCTTTTTTTTTTGCGTTTTAGTTTTATAAGGTTGAGACAGAAGAAAACCTTCTATTGACCTTAGGGAGGTTAAATGGTTAAAAAATACATTTTAATAATTTCTTTTAACTTTTTATAAGGCAAAAATGAAGCAGTTAAACGATAAATTGGACCTTGCAAGTTATTTGATTAAGCCCGTTCAACGCCTGGGTAAATATTCACTTTTGCTTCGAGACATGATTAGTTGTTGTGATCCTAAAGATCCTCGTGTTTCTGAGATGAAAGTGAGTAAAAATGTTCTCAGATTATTATGCAATTTGTAATTATTTAGATTAAAGCTTTACATTGTATTTAGATGGCCCATGAATTAATGAAGTTTCAACTTCGCCACGGTAATGATCTTCTTGCTATGGATGCCATAAAAAATGCTGATGTAATTTTTTATTATTATTCAAATTTTTAATTAAAGTAATTTAGGCATATTAACTCTTTAGCAAATCTTATATTTTTTATAGGTTAACTTAAAAGAGGAAGGTTGTTTGCTACGTCAGGTAAAGTTTAAAATAGTAACATCTTGTAAACATTCTGTTGAATTGCATTTTTAAAGATCTTTTACTTGATATTATTTTAAATCATTTTAGGCTGATTTTATAGTTTGGTATGGCAAGCGTAAGCGCGTACGTAGGGTTTTTCTTTTTGAGCACTCAATAGTATTCACAAAAGCTAAAGAACAAAAAGCTCATGGTGATCACTTCATTTATAAGCATTCTATAAAGGCAATTTTTTTTATATTTGTTTTATTTTATCTTTCTTTTTCCTAATAAATTATTTTTATTGTCTACTTCATGCTACTATTTTTCACGCTTTTTTTTAAATCAAATTTTATTTAAAAAAATTTCTATTTAGACAGTTGATTTAGGACTGACAGCAAACATTGGGGACAGTGGATTAAAATTTGAAGTCTGGTATCGCCGATGGAAAAAAGGGAGAACTTCAGATGCTTACATTTTACAGGTCAATCTAAATTTATGTACCCATGTTTGTTATTTTCTGTTTACTGAATTTTTGTTTGCCTTTAGAGTTTAATTTACACTTTATTCAGAGATTAAATTTATGCTTTATTTTAAAGTTTAATTTATATTTTACTTGGCAATTTAGGCAACTACAGAAGAAATAAAGGTTGCTTGGACTAGTGACATTACAAGGATTCTATGGCGTCAAGCAACACGAAATAAAGAATATGGTCTTACAGAAGTCAGTACTGGCATAAGTGTTGAGAGTACACCATCAGCAATTTTTCCAGATAGTGGAGTTCAGTTGAACTCTTATTCAAGACAGCGTGAAATATCACCTCGTTCCCTTGATATAAATATAAATAAGCGCCTTTCATGGGTGAGTGCTGGTGATAGTTCCGGTAGTTCTGGTGTACATGATTTGGGCAGTTTACCTGAAGATCCTCCTTGTATTTCTCCACGTGATGAGAAAAATTATTGTAAACGAGAAGGTAGCAGTAAAAGTTCGTCAATACAGAGAAAGTTCTCGCAACAGTTTAATTTACCGTTAACATACAACGAAGCTGATATTACTTTTAGACGAGATCAAAGCAACTCTTATGACGGTTCTTTTATTCGTAATAATGTATTCAGAAAAACCATTCAGTATGACGGAACACCCGCTTTAGACCGAACTAAAATAGGTTCGACGAAAAAAATTTATAAAAAATATTCATCAGGAAAACCACGTTTCGCTACACAACCCATAATACTACCAAGCAATTTTTCTGAAGTATATAAAAAAACGAACACTGTTAAATACCGAAAGGTGCTTTCTGAGCGCCCAACATCTCCTGAATCTATTGTCGAATGTGTTGAAGAAGATACCCTTTCTAATAAACTCAACAGTTTACTTAAAGAAAATGATACAAATAATACTTCTATAAAAAAACCTATATCACCTATGTTATGTAAAAAAGCGTATACACAAGGTGATTTATCTATTTATAAAGACTTTCCTCAAACTTATTGTTTTGATAATACAAAACCACTGAAGCAATACTCATTTTTTCAGTCAAAAACACCAATGGCGGAGGGCAGCAACAAGTTCCTTAATTTACAAAGCCTTTCATGTGATCCTTTGCACTCGTGTTCAACCAATACTTCAGAAAATCTCAGATTAAAAAATCCTAATAAGTCAATCTCTCTATCGACAACAACATTTTTTACATCTAAGGTAGGTTACTAAAATAATGATGATGATCATCATCATCATCATCATGATCATTATAATGATTATGACAATGGCAACATGATGATCATCATAATGGCGATGATGATGATGGTGGTGGTGATGATGATGATGATGATGATGATGATGATGATGATGATGATGATGATGATGATGATGATGATGATGATGATGATGATGATGATGATGATGATGATGATGATGATGATGATGATGATGATGATGATGTGAAGAATTGTTGTCATGATAAATAAAATGAATTGAAAAAATTACTTTTAGGATTCAAAGAAACAAACAATGTTGCCGACATTCCTCCGAAAACGATTATCTAAATCTTTTACAGACTTACTTTGAGAATTATATTTTTTTATAAACTCAACGTTTTCGAATAGCGACATCGCCGACGGCAATATTTTTGCTTTATCATAATCTTAGACTCGGTACTTTTGGCCTCTGACATTTTGGCTTTGTTAAACTTTTGGAGTAGATAAGCCTATCCAATTGTTGCGTACAACCTTAAGTTTTTTTTAAAATCTCGTTTTATTAAGAGTCGAAACAGTTTCTTCGTAATTTTTACTGGAGGTTTTTATAGTTAACTAACTTAGAATTTCGAAATAAGTGTTTTAGAAAAAAATGTTAGGTTTGCATTTGAAATAATTTGTTAGCGTTTAATATATTTTGTTAATATATCAAAAACTTGTTAAATTTTTTAGTATTGATATGTTTATATTTATTTTTAAATTAAATAGAAACTATATTATGTGTATATATATATATATATATATATATATATATATATATATATATATATATATATATATATATATATATATATATATATATATATATACATATATATATGTATATATATGTATACATATATGTGTGTATATATATAAAATATAAGTGTATACATATATATATAATATATAAACCATATATAAATGTTGTATTATTTTACGTGAATAAAAAATGGGTTGATACTATAAATAAATATTAAGAAACTTTTACGTTCATGTATATCTTTCTATATTCATACTGCTATATTTTTCTATAAAAACAGTTTTATCAAGTAGCAAGGTGTAGTTTTTAAATGCAATTTTTGAAATTTAAAAATAAATAATTGGGTTTAAACTGAGTTTTTTTAAAAAGTGTGACATTGAATGAACAGAAGAGACAGAAAAAGTTGAGGTGTGGCGGAATAGTGTCGCAAATTTTATTGTCGAAAATGTAAAAAAGGAATTGTATCACAAATTGTCGCATTAGTGACTGCCGAATAGCAAATTTAAAACTTATGTCGCAAATAATAGTGAAGAAAATTACCGACCAAATAATTTTTTTTTTTTTTTTTTTTTTTTTTTTTTTTTTTTTTTTTTTTTTTTTGCTATTTTAGGTGCTCCAAGAAGACTTAACGGTCTTGTCACACAACCACACGCCTCCTTCCTTACCGTGACGCGAAAATACGTCCAGAGCTCGTTTCAAACCTGGATCGAAATGCCTCGTTTTGAACCTGGAACCTCGTTTTGAACCTGGAAATAAATTCAACTATCAAATTAGAAGCTAGGGTTGTTGCTATAATATAGAAAAATCGTATAAATAATCGAAACCCTTAGAAAAAGAGTTTGCGTATTAGTATATAAATGTTTGCATGGGACCATGTGTAGCAATTTCAAAATCTATATTACAATAAAAAAACACGCAATCTGTTGTAATTCCAAAGATAAAAGTACAATCAAGTTATTTTATTACGCAATCAAGTTATTTTATTACGCAATCAAGTTATTTTATTGCGCAGGCGCTGTACAATCTTTTAACAAGAGGCAAAAAGTGCAAAAAATCTTAATTTATTTAAATCACTTAATTTATATAACTGTATATATCTAATTATATATCTTATACAACTGATATAATTAATCAATTAATTTATTTAAATCAAGTTTTATAAAAATAAAACGCAATAAGTTCTAACTTTATCTGTCATCGCATGAGATTTTTAAGGTTTTATCTGCCCTTTTTAGTATTGTGAGAATTTAACTTTTAATATTTTATTGTTAATTTTTGTTTGTTCTTTATTATATTTTTAAAAAGCAGTCCGTTATAAAATATAAAACATAGAAATACAATAAAATTTACAGATCGATATTAAGAAATAAAAGAACACGAGAACTCGTAGAAGACCGCCTTGTCGTCGAGACCCGCTAAAATGTATATTTGTTTGATATCTGCATACTTTCCCATAGTCATTAAAACTTTACGAGTAAGTATAAATCATGTAAAAATAGTTACCAAATCATGAATGGCAGATTGGAGTGTAGGCATTTTGGTTATAATAAAAACAAAACCTATTTTTGATAACATGTGACTTAATGCAGTCACCACATTTGCTATAAAAATTGTTAGAAAATTCGTTCAGACTATTTTTTTAATTCTTTTAAAAATTTTCTTTTCATCAACAATATGTGAAAATATTTACCATAAATAATAAATTACAATAAAATTTTATTTTTATTTTAGTTTATTTATTTTGCGTTATATTGTATTGACGTGAAACAAATATTTTTAATATGGATTCCATATTGAAAAACCGTTCGAAACACCTTCTATTACGTAAGGTGCTTCAAGAAGTTTGTTTTAATTGTTTAAATTAAAAAACATCGACGTCATTATTAATTCTTTAACTAACTTAACACAAAAAATATTCGAAACATTTTTAAATTTGCTTAAAAAATAACGACGTCCCGCTTTCATTTGTATGTGTTCGCAAGTTACTCAACCCTCTTTGAATGATAATATCATAGTCAATAGAAATCCTGGTCTGGAAAAGCTATTGTTTCAATCTTATTTTAAAACCGTATCTTGAAAAGTGCGTAAAAAGTAGTCACGTGATCAAATCTAGTGCAAAACAAATTTTTAAATGGCGTTTTCTGAAGAACTTTTTACAGGCGAAACGCTTGATTATATAATAAATATTAATGCTGATGATGAATTAAATCCAGATTTGCAAGAATATTTTGATAATGCATTATTAGAGGTAATAATAATTTTTAAATTTTAATTAGAATGGTTTATTTTGGTGTAAAGGTTAACGCAAATGATTAAGTTAAATTAAAAAAACATTTTTAAAAGTTATTGTATCCTAATATTTACTGTTGATAATCGTACTAAAATAATATATATATAATAAATGCTATTTTTAATATATATTAGGTAACCGATATTGGAGACTTCAAGTGCAAAATTTGCAAATCCAAAACGTATAAAACAAAAGGAGGCTTAGCACGACACAATAAAAACAAACATACCATAAAGAGTCTTACAGATATGCATTATAATGATTTTGTCACAGATATAAAAAAAATTGTTGCAGAAACTAAAGCTGATTTGTCAACAAATAAATGTTATCCTCAAGAAGTTATTTCAGAAATAAAAGACTTTGAAATAAAAATAACAGAAAACTTTTTTGATGAAATAAGAAAAATGTCAAAAAAATTAAAATCATCTGGAAATGCTGAAAAGTATTATTCCAACTTTTATAGCAATATTGTTCTCTTTTCAGACACATATTTTAATCTAAAGAAACCTGCATCAACAGTATTTACAACAAAGTTATGCAATAAATTATTTCAGCATTTTCAAAGCTCTCCTTCAAAGAATGTTGAAGTTAAAGAAATTTCACCACGTGAAGTGGATGGATTAAAATATTTGTCTGGGTATGTTATAAGAAATCTACTTAAAAAGGCAAAAACAACAAAAAAATACAAAAGCCAGTACAATCAAGCTATAATTGCATTATTACTTCAAACAACTAAAGAAGTTTCAAGTTCAGAAAAGTTAATAAATACCCAAAACAGAGGGGGTTTAACAGCAGTATGTGAAGAATGCTATCAGATTTTCTTGCTAGCTGAGAAACATTTTAGACAAGAAACTGCAGTTGCTAACCTCCGAAATATTGAAAGTAAGAATTTAACAAAACACCTATTAAAGGATCCTAATATTATAAGTTTTTACAATGCAATCGTGGATGATGTGAAATTCGTGTCTATTGATAAGGAAATTAAGCTTAACTTGTTAGAAAAAATGATAGAACTTTATTTTAGAGTTCGTACATTTTCATTGGCTAAAAATATAACTGCAAAAAACAATGATCAAAGTTTTAAAGTAAAATCTTTAAGAAAAAGTATAAAACGTAAATCAAACAATAAATAAAGACTTAAACTTTAAACTTAATACAAATAATTGATATATTTTGTTATATGCTATGTTTATATTTAGATTATATTTATAGGTTTTTTTTTCGTTTTGGTAACTTTTCATTATCAACAACACTCCAAGATACTTCACGTTTTTGACCATGACCACCTTTAGTATTTCCAGTAACCGGCGCAATTGATCTTTGCAATCGCAAGGTATTTGACTGGTAACCAAATTGATATAGTGTAGGGTTGTCATTTCTTCGACCTAAACTCCGTTGTCTACCAAAGTATTCCTCCAAAACGTCTTGATTGAATTTTTCAGTCAAAACAAACGGCATACCACTTTTTAATAAAAATTTTACCAATTCGATAACAGACATTACAGTTATTTGAAGTCCTTCGTATGTTTGCCAAGAGATAAACATTCTTCCTTTTGCATTGTTGGAAAAGTTACCAGGACGATTAATAATACACTCTTTCCATTTTTCTAGATAGCATAAAAATGTATTCTGTAGCCATGTCAAACGCTCGTCATTAACATCCGTGTATGGTAATAAAAATGGTTTGCGTTTCATTATCCCTTCACTGCTGTTTCGCACATTTAAGCAATCAAAAAAACTATCTAACATTTCACAAAATTTTGCAGTTCCATTTGTATCATCAGGGTAATAATTTTTTAAAATGTTACTGACACTACTACTTAAAACCTGGGCTGCAAGTCTTACATTCATAACAATAACATACGACAATAGCTTTTCCAGACCAGGGTTTATTTCTATTGACTATGATAAAACTGACGCTAAAAAAATTAAACGTCGAAGAAGAAATCTTTCTAAATAAAAAGTGAAAATTAGAAAAGTTGAAAAATAGAAATTATATTCTAAACGCACTTGACGAGTTATAAAGGAAATTACAGGCAGCTTCAAAATGAAAACAATGGCTAAAGCCATTAAAACAAATAATAAAATTTTTCATGATCAAGAAGAGATAGATAGAGAATGAGCTGAACAAATATTTTGTTTCTGTTAGACCAAATTTATCCAAAGAAATTCCTCAAGAAATTAATCCATTAGATAATGTAATAATCCCCAATACGTCACAGTTTAATTCATTTGAACTAACTAAATAGAGTGTAAATGCGCCTTTAAAAAGCTAAAACCAAACACCATTTGGTGCGGATGATATCAATATAATAGAGGTGTACCGGATATGATATTTTTACATATCCGGCCGGATATGTTAGATATACCGGATATGTTAAATATTGTAGGAGAATAAGAGGACGGGGTTTTATAGAGGTGCCCTCTCCCACAGTGATGACTCCCTAACTGTTACCGTGACCAAGATAATTAAATATTACTTATGTTTGAGTTTATCTAGTTTTAACTTAACTTAGACCATTAAAAAGGATAGGCGTGGCCTTCGCTATATAATGCTAATTTAAAAATGAAGCAAAAAAATTTTGCTT